GTGTCAAAGAGGCCTGGTGGGCCATGAAGGAGATCCTGTATGGGACAAATGAGAAGGAGCCCAGACGGAGCAGTGCTCAGCTCGCTTCTAGGGAGCTCTACAAACAGCGGCCTGCTCAGCACCTCGTAGCAGACCTGCGAGCTCATTCGAATTCGAGGTGAGAGTTGTACGTTTCGGTAAGAGAAAGGGAGAGAAAATCAAATGAATGTTAATACGTTTTCATTTTGGTCATTGGATTGGTCTATGTTGTGATTTATTTATTTTATAAAACATCGTATGCAGAGTCTGTCTTCGCTGCTTGCGCGTGGTCTGGCCAAGTTCTTGGACCATTTTTTGGGGGAGTCTCCTTGTTCCGCTCTGAGGGGTTATATAAACAAAGGGTGTGCATGTTGAAGACACTGTAAAGCCCCCGGAGACAAAGTGTAATTGGGCTTTAGTAACATAATGTAAACTGAATGGTATAGAGTGGTGCAGTGACGGGTCCTACAAACCAGGAAGTGAGTCAGCATTTTACCACTTCCTAAAATGTACCGTTGGCGGTTTAGTGGTTAAACGGTTAGGGTAGTAAGAAGAATGGAGAAACCAGCTCGAGTGCGCCTCGAATTTGAACAATACACAACCGGAAAGAATCTGCCCCCTCAGACTCCTCCACAGAGCCCTCCTCCAAACACACACGAACGCGCACATGACCAATGAGGGCACGAGATAACTTGTGCACAGATGGAAGGCTGACAGGGCAGTAGGCCATCCAGTTACTTTAGCCGGCCGGCTCTGATGGATGGTCGTGCTTTTCTACAGCCCACGGCTTCCACAGATGATATTTTTTTTTATGCGACTTTATTTGTCAAAACAACTTCAGATACTCATTGCATATCGGGATGTTCAGAGCATTCCATGGAGTATATAAGTGTTTCGAAGTAAATTACCTACCCACCTTAAGTGGAGTGACGTTGAATAGTGGGACCCTGCGTACTGCGACTTGTAGTTCCTTTATAGCATAACGTGCATTTTGCCTATCTGGCGATTAGATTTGATTCAAAAATTATAAAAGTAGGACATTGTTGAGATTTATCCGGCTGAAACAAAACGTGCATTATCAAACAGGTTCCGTTCCACAGACCTTAATTTCCAGCTGATTTTCCAAAATCCTATGGAGAAATCCCATGCCTGGTTACTTGTCGAGGAACCCATGCGCCAGCGTACTCCGGGAATACGTCATCCCGCCTGCCACCGCTCCACAGCACATGTATAACGCCACTGGGGCACACGCGTGGAAGTTTGTCAATGTTTCTGAACACAGTAAGAATGGTCGTATCAACATGAAAAAGGGATGCATGTCCACGTCACCTCCCTCTCTCTCTGTGGCAAACTCTCGTCTCCCTGCAATATTGTCAGATGCTGCGTGCGTGTTACCGACTCACTCTCTCAGCATGACTCACTGTGTGTGGATCATCTTCCTTCATCTACCCTCCTCCTGCTCAATTGGAAATACCTATAAATACGACAGGGAATTCAACATTTTTAGGAAACGTGTCTCTTTTTTGAGGACATGATAGTCCTCTTTGCTAAAACACCAAATAAGAACGCTATTTCCTCTTTAATATCTGTAATTGATTTAAGTTATCAGTAGGTGCTGTCAATAAATCGCGTTATGATTATGGCTGCAACGATTGCGAAACAATGTAATCGAAAATAAAACGATTATTTTTATAATTTTTTTTTTATAACTTTTTATAACTTTTTATTTTCTTCAGTTGAATTATACTAAAGTTCAGGGTAATCAACTGTTAAAAACATACTTTTGGGACATTTTTTCTCCAATAAATGGATGTTTTCAAAGTCAATGAATAACCGGCATTTAATAATCGCAATTACAAATACTTTGACACTAAATAAATATATCAGATGTATGATTTGCCCCATAATCGCGGCTGCCTACTTATCAGACTACTTTCATAACATCACGTTAAGGCTGAACTTTCACTGTAATGTAAATGTCGTCTATGTTGCTTAAACATGGATTCCCAAATATTTTAAATAAAAGTGGTGTGCTCTGATGTCCTGGCCCAAAAAAGAAACATTTTACAGATTATAACTTTATAAACAATCACTTGTCTTTGGTAAACGATACGAATAACTAAGCTATGTCCTCACTCCTCATATCTCCTCAGCTGCACATACTATTTATGCAAAAAAACAACATAAACTCTCATCCAATCCCTCGATCCTCAATTGCATACGAGTAATATCAGAATAATTGCACAATATAGTGCGTTATGTGCATATATCCTACATGTATATTATTAGACCCCCCTACACCTAGCCCATCTTTAATAACTGTAATATATGGTCGGCTACATAATATTAGCCGTAAGAGAACCCGTGCTACAGGTACTTGATTTGTAGATTTGGATATTGTAACTCACTGAATTTCGTCACTTCTTTAACCAAAGATTTATGTAAACTTTTTTTAGTTTTATTATTCTTATTTACATATGCTGCTTACTACTATTTATATAATCTATATCCTTAGTACATTTTTTAACGCATTTAAACTTATGCAAACACTAGCTGTCTGTGGCTCTATTCGCTGCTGCTACGCTCTCCAATATATCCCCGTCTGGGGGACTTACTAAAGGGATTCGATTAATCTGATTAATGTCGTATCTCTTTCTTCCATTAAACTCCGGTGGTTATTCACCCACCGATACAAACATAGCGATACATGTTGGAAGAACTGCGAGATAGATTGTCTCTCTATAAGTTTCTCGCTCATCTCCTGACTGATCGCCTTCTCTTCGGGAAGTATGTGGTAATCACCCTTTTGATTGCATAAATGATAACTGCCTGTTCACCACGTCTTGAATGTAGATTGCTCTTGTCTATTTCCATCCAGTGGATAAGAAAAGACAGTGGCCTCAGATCTATCAACAACTCCATCCTGCGGCGGTCAGAATTGGACCGGACGCCCTAACCCAGGTGGAGTACCTGGTGCACCCAGGCAGACTATCTATCCCTTCTTTCAGTGTGCTCAAAGCCACAGCGATAAGTACAGCGTGTTGCTTTAAACATTAAAGCTGACAGATTACAGATTCACATCCTGCGAACTGACGGGACCTGTCAGGCTGAGATGACTCGTTAAAAATCTCAAATGTAACACGAATGATTCCTCTTCGTTCAATATCAACTACTTCTTCTACTGAGTCTGCTGAATGTTGCTTAATTCGGACATTCCTAAGCAATAAAGACATGTGTTGTTTGATAGCTCTCGGTCATCTGCCTCCATATTTATTTTAAACCACTCCCACTGAGCATAGTCTGCTTTCTAGTATAACAAACGCTACAGCCAAAAACATTCAAATTGAACGAGTCATTATCTTACCATAATTCATCAGTCTGTCTGCTATATTACAAACACACATGTGCAACTATCCTTGAATGTGTGTGAAGACCTCATTCCCCTGTGTGTGTGTGTGTGTGTTGTGTGTGTGTGTGTCGTGTGTGTGTGTGTTGTGTGTGTGGTGTGTGTTTCGTGGCTATGTGTGTGTGTTGTGGCTGTCACTCATGAGTAGTGTGTCTTGTGTGATGTGTGTGTGTGTGTGTGTGCAAATCTCGTGGTGTGGTGTGCGCCTGATGTGTGCTAGTGATGTGTGTGAGCGTGTGTGTGTGGTGTGTGTGTGTGTGGTGTTACACACAACAGTGTGTCCTCATCTGAGTTGCATTCACTCTGCAGAGATGATGTCTTCAGAGATCGCACACACTACACTGCATCTGGCATCACTGTTGAGGGTGTGTAGTGTGACATGAACGTAGTCGCTGGCCGACAACATTCGCACGCGGTTTAAGTTGTGGTCGGTAGCAGTTCTACGACTTCTTCTGGTCTACAGTGGCTTGTCCACTCTTCATGTCGATTCGGATCAGCATGCGCCACTTTCAAAGAAGGATGTTACGACTTAAACCTATGCGACATCGCTTTCATCTATTCCCATTTTCATATTCCTCTGCGACTCCTTCACCCTAAGCAATTTCGTGTGGGTTTCCTTAATTTGAATTACATGGTTTATTTCAGTTGTGTTTTACCTTCAGTGTCCAAAAGTAATTAATTTAGACTAATAGCCCAAGTGTGGATAATCATTAAATGTGTTTATTTTTTCCTAATATTTTGCATTTTCTATTTGCAGGACCTCCTCACAAGACACAAGCTACTGAGTGCAGAGTTTCTGGAGCAACATTAGACAGAGTAAGTCCTCACTCCACTGAGATTGATAGGTATTAAAAAAGCAGAGGATGCATCCCATGTCCTCTCATGAGAGCTATTAAGAAGAAGTCAACATCAGACCTTCAAGGGACCTATCATGCAAAATGCACTTTCTGATGTCTTTTTATTACTATAAAGATGTGTCCCCGGTGTGTCGGAGGAACTCACGCAGCGTTCAGAAAATAAAACCCTCTCTCTTTTCCTCCGTACCCTAATCTCTAAATCGGGGGAACAACGGAGCTGATCCAGATTTGCGCGACCGATATGACGTAATATCTGAATGTGGACCCACGGCCTATTCAGAAACGTTGCTATGCAGAAACAATGCCCGACTGGTTTTGGACCTAATATGGTCGGGTTTTACATTAGCATCGTTAACACTCAGAGCTAACCTGTACTGGAGAGCATGTTGGTGTGAAGAAGCAGGAAGTAAAAGGGAACTCACCTTGTGGTATATAACCGGCAGAGAGAGAAGCCTTGAGGCTCCATACTGTGTCAGAGATAATCCTTGATAGATCCATGATATGCGGTTTCATCCCAGCAGTATTTTGTTTAGGACAGTAGCGCCGGGTCGGGGCCGGATGAGCTCAGCCCCCCTCCTTTTTATTTCTATAAGGAGCGCTTGTGTATTACCCCAAATCAGCACTTTTGAAACAGGAAAGTGAAATAGAGGTTAGTGATGGCATGGCCTAGAATGAGGTGATCTGGTTTGGTATTTTGAGCAAAACACTTCGATAGACATGTTTTTTATATATTTGTTATATCTGAGACCTATGCTATTGCCTGATCGGTGACCTTTAAGGTATTATCTTTAAAAACATAGTTTTTTCACAAAATATGCATGAACAGCAAGAGTGACGTGTTATTCTTCATCAAACGATACAAGAGGTGGCTGCTTTATTGCAACATGCACTTGCCTTGAAGTGGAAACCAACATTTGTAGATTACTCAATGGGTGTCGTGTTTTCTTTGCACCAGTTTACATGTCAAATAAAACCTGGAAGTCTCTGTCCTCACATCGCCTCAATTAGCTGTGAGGTGCATCATTTGCAGGCATTGTGTTTTCATACAAGACATGAATACAATGATAAAAAACAGCTTCTTGGACCACCCTCTTTCCCCTGTCCTCTCTGCTGACTCCTTCTTCCTTTCTGTTCTAGTTCTTCAGTGAATATGAGATCAGCTACTCCACTCTGAGAAAACTACGTGACTTAACAAGGCAGTCCCTCAAGGTAAGGGGTGTGCGTGTCATTGCCTGTAAAACATGTCTCATTTTAGTCTTTTCAGAAATCTATTTAAAGACGGTCACAGTGTTTGGTTTCTCATAAAACCATTCCCACCTCCAACTCCTTCACGAGAGCGCCATCTAGTGGTGGAACGCTTATGGTTTGACATGTTGCTCTGAAAGCTCCCTTAAAACATCGGGCCCTTCTTCACTTGTATTTATAAATACATTGATTGCTTTTCTTTATATCCAGGTTCTTACGGTCATTGACAACCTGGAAAGAGCATGGTAATTCAAAATGCTAATTCCAGGCCCCAGAAAAGTTTGGGAAAACAACATTTTTCCCAAAGGTTTTGGAAAGTCATGAAATGTAACTAAAGTTGCATCAAATATAATTTATATTTTATCAAATCACCGAAATAGCTAATCCTATGATAATAAATACTGTATCGTATAGTAATGAAACGTAAAATGGCATTTAGCTGACGAGGTGTTTTGCTGGTGAGAGATTTGAGTTGCTTCTAAGTGTAGAAGCTAGTAACGCCTAATATTTGATTGTTTTAGATTAGGCCACCAACATGTTTCATATGCCAGACCTTATTTTCCTGTTCCATGTTAAAATAAACCATTTTCAGTTGGTGCCGCTGAGTAAGGAGTAATTTCTTTGCCATGGAAAATTAGGTAGGTTACGGAGAAGTCATTGAAAATCCTTTGGTGAAAAAGTGTGTGAACCCTGATTATTACGTCAATTGAAACCAGCCATCTCTTTCAAGTTTTTGAATCAAGCTCAGGATTTTGGTTCAGTTTAAGGTTTGATAACGGTAGTTGTGTGAGTACCCTATGTTTTCAGATGTTATAGGGACTATTTGGACTTACTCATCATGTTGGTTCTGTTAACTATATTTTAGATTGGACCTTAAAGCAATAAGCCTTGTCCAGACCATTTGGCGAGGTTCAATCAGGGGGTCCGCGGAGTCTTAAAAAGTATTAAAAGTTCATAAATCAATTTAGAGAAAAAGGAAGGCTATTAAAAAGTATTAAACGGCATTTTCCAAGGTATTACATTTTGTAGCTTGTTTTCAATAAGTATATGAATTGTTCAAAGAGGTTGTATTCTACAGTCTGCCTGAATGTAATCATTGCGTAGCTGTGTAGTGTGATTCTGTGTAGTTTATTTATGGCATCCCGTTGGATTGGACGTCATCTGAACAGGACATCGCGCGCTCACTGCTTGATAGCGCGCGAAGGCCCGTTTACGCCGGTTGCTAAGCAACATCGTTATGGGGAAATGCAAGTCTGCGTCCAAATGGTTGGAAGATAAGGAGGAAGGACAATCAATACTGTATATAGTCAATGTGAGGTCAAGTGTGTCGCCAAGGTAACCGGTTAGAACTCAAAGTGGCGATGAGGTCTTAAAATGTTTGGAAAGGGTCTTAAAAAAGGTCTTACATGTGACTTCAGGATTCCTGCATATACCCTGTATTTATATTGTGTTTCTCACTCTGAAACCATCTAGCTACTGGGCGAGTTGCTTCTTGACCGACACAATTTCACCATAATGACGAAATACATCAGCAGGCCAGAGAATCTCAAATTAATGATGAACCTGCTACGGGACAAGAGCCGCAACATCCAGTTTGAAGCTTTCCACGTTTTTAAGGTAAACATTAAAGACACCGTTTCTAAACCGTATCACAGATGTACATTATCTTCACATATTAACATCCTTACCCCCCTCCCCTCCCTAAACTACCAGGTGTTTGTTGCGAACCCCAACAAGACGCAGCCCATCCTGGACATCCTGCTGAAGAACCAAACCAAACTCATCGAGTTCCTCAGCAAGTTCCAGAACGACAGAACGGAGGACGAACAGTTCAACGATGAAAAGACTTACCTGGTCAAACAGATCCGGGACCTGAAGAGGCCGGCCCCCCAGGAGGCCTGAGGAAAAGGCTGTAGAGGTGGGGTGAGAGGGGGGGGAAGAAAACATCCGGACAAAGTCTGCTTAACGGACCCATCAGCAGCCGGTTTCTGAACAAGAGGAAACAAAACCAACGCACCCACATCAACTCATCAGGAAGTCGACAGCTCCTCTGCTCCTCTGTGAACTTTGATTTACTTCTTTTTCTTTTTTTTTAAGTATTTTTCCTTCAAAAGAAATAAGAGAAAATAATAGATGCTGCTGCTTTTCTTTCTTGCACATTGAGACATGTTAGGTATATTATGATGAAAGAAGTCCATCGAACATAGTGTGACAGAAAATGTCCGTGCAGTTAGGCAGACTTCCTGACACACAGTTTTACACACATATGTATTACATTAAAAACATACACACATAATGCAAGAACATCAGCTAAGACCTTGTGATGGAAATGGTACGAGTTGAACATTTGGTGTGTTGGTTGCATGCCTTGAAATGTGACATGGCTGTACCCAGCGCCACAGACTCGGCGTGCACGTGCATCACATCTATGCCTTCATCCAATAAAGACACGGTGGTTCATTTTCAGCGATTCAGATGCCATCACAGAACCATTGACCTCCTGTGTGCTTTCTTACAGCACCTAAAGCACATGATGATGATGAGGATGATGAGGAGCAGGAGGGAGGGGTGTAAAGGTGTGGATTCAGTGAAGCCCCCAGAGTTGGGTTTTTCTGGGAAAGGGTGATCGTGTACATATGCCTTTTCTTTTTTTTTTGCTTTGTAGATTTTTGTTGAACCTTGACATATGAATATATATTATATATATATTACCTTAAACATCCCGTTGTTGGTTAATTGTAATCTTATGACTTTCTAAACCATACAAAAAGAAGTTAGGTGACATTGTTTTACATTTTGCTGCTGAAATGGTTGCTGTTGGGTTTATTTGTTCATACAGGCTCACATTTAGCTAACCGATAGGATGTCATGGTATTAGCTCTGGATGTGTTTTATTCTCCCGTCTACATTTTGAGTATCTCTCAGATTGCTGAACATGTGTAGAAGAGGGGAGGGAGGGGTTTGGGGGAGCATTAACTGAAACATTAAAGTTGTGTGTTTGTGAGGTGCTGAGCGGAGTCGAGGGGATTCACCCCCTTCCTCTATTTCATTAACTTGATACTCTCACCCACTTTGCTTCTGTCCTGGGAGAGCAGCGAGCCCCACAGAGAGAGTGTTTCAGGGGTGAACTCGTCAGCACCATTCTTACTTTTCCCTCCTTCTCCTCACGTTGAGCCTTTCTTTTCAGAGGGTTAATAATTCCAGTACAGGTTTTTAGTGTAAAGCATCGTGACTAGCGGACTAATCTGGGCATGCTGTAATGTCCTGATGGTGGAAACGGCAGATGTGTTCATTAACAGCATGTCATTAAAAGTGCAAGTAAGGAAATATCCGTGCGATACTCAGAGAGCCGGCAGTCCCTCCATCCGCATCGAACATGCATGCTCCTCCACTGGCTGTGCATGATGCTGTACTAAAAGATGTTGTACTGGAATTGTTTCTTTTTTCCTAGTATTTAACATTGAAATGTCAAACTAAACTTTCTGCTGTATGTTGAGGCCAGTTTCAGCATAGAGCGTGTGGGTGCGTTCAGAAGTGTCAAAGGCCTGAACAAAATAAAGAACAAAAAAAACATTTGGAATAAAATAATGCTGTGGTCATTGTCGTCCTGTGTACAGAAATGGTGTGGCAACATTAGAGTGCTCACCGCAAATGCTCCGTTATAGAAATGTGTAGAGTTCACGAGTACTATAGCAGCACAATGAACAAGACTCTTTATTTTTAAAATAATGAAAGCACTTATTCGGAAGAGGATTAAGACCACGTGAAAACAGTAAGAATTCTGAGGAAAAAAATCAGATTTTTGTGAAAGAAATCTGAATTCTGATTAAAAAGTTCTGACAATCTGATTAAAAAATAGTGGACTAAAAAAAAAAGACAGGATTCACAAAGAGAAGTCGGATATTTGAGAAAAGAAAAAAAAGGTCAGATTTATGAGAGAAAAAAGTAAGGATCAATGACAGATATGATTCTTTAAAAAATGAAAGAATCTAAAAAAAAACATTCTTAAAAAGTCAGTATTGTGACTTTTTTCTCAGAACTCAAAAACCGTTAAGAAAATTCACACGTGCCGCGAAATCTCATCCTCACGTGTGCATATGTAGGCTACTCCTTACAGAGGGCAACATGTAGTAGGCTAAATGTGCTGCATTTATATGACGCTTTTCCAGTATTTTTCCAGTTTTTAAAACCCAGGAAGTGTCAACTTTATGGCCTATAAAACAGTTATAGTAAGTGCGTGAGAACCGCCTCTCCAGTGCACCTCTAGTAACACTAGAACTGCCACTGCTTGCATTATTATTTTTCTAGATAAAATCCAACTTGACCCACGACAAGGGTTAAAGGAGATCTGGCACAACCTGAGCTTGTCCTCTTGACAGTAAACAGCTGCGCACTAGTCCTTTAAGGGCAGGGGGGAAAAGCGCACACTTCCGGTTTCTACAGACAAAAACAGAGAGAGGAGCAGCCCAGCAGAGACACAGCAGAGGACGATCACAGAGACTTTTGTGCAGAGAGGCTTCCACACATCCTGCAGAGACTCGGAGCCATGGGGAAGATCAGCTTCCAGCCTGTGGCGGGACAGAAACTGGACAAGGAGGACCATGATGGCGACAAGACAGAAATACTCATCCCGCATCCGATGGTGGGTGAACGCAACTCTTAATGCCATTATTCTTATATCAAAATGCATGTGTCGTCTTTATGTGATATGATCCCCTGTGTAATGAGATCCTGCTGCAGTTGTTCTGCACCTCCACGAGCAGCAGGGTCTCTGACAGCACCCATCGCCATTTGGGTTGCAAACAAAACATGGCCCTGCTCTGCGCCACTACGATAATTGCATGTTTTATGCAAGTTGTGAATGTGCAATTGCATTTTCTTTGTTCAGGACGGAATAGAAGATTAGAAGCTGTTTAACAATGTAAATTATTTGTTTTTTATTGTATTTTTTCTATAATTGGCATGGTGTCTGATGACTTCCTTCATTGCAGGTTCAAATACGAAAGAAAAAAACACCCCTTGAAATGAAATGCAGAAATTGCATGAGCTTTTTTTGGCTGACAAAATGGCAGATCTGGGGCTTGCAGCGCATGCAAGATTATTTTTGCACTGCTCTAAAAGAGGCAGAGTCCTTAACTTTGCTGTAGCATCATCCCAGCATCTCCTTTTATCAAAGGTACACGATGAGCCCTGGCCCTGATGGACTGTAGACAGGACAGCAGGCATTCATGAAGTGATTATGGTGGAAGAACAGAGCTGTCAGACTTTAGGAATCTGTTCCCAGAAGTGTGTGTGTGTGTGTGTGTGTGTGTGTGTGTGTGTGTGTGTGTGTGCGCGCGCACTGACATGGTGCTAAAATT